ATATAATACGTCCGATTACCGGATCAACGTTCTGATATCTGGAACAAAATTTCACACAAAAAACAGTCTTAAAACCGAAACATCCGATAACTGGAGCGTGCAAAAACGAGGGTTCCATTGTACATTGGAACCTCGTTTTTCGGCTGTAATCTGTTCCAGAAGGTCGGCCTAAATATGAAGCAATATTTTCCCTAAGAATTAATGTAAATACAATTAATCCATTCCAGACGCCAAAAATATTCGCAAAAAATTATATTATTTAAATATTAATTATAGTTTTACATACACAAAAGAATGAGAATTTAGTAAAATAAACAAACATTTAAATTATTATTACATACCTTTACTGAAGACTCTTGTTGGCTTATGGCATATGGAGAGAGGGAGGACTGTTTGTTCGGAAGCAGAATCTCCCTGGGGTTACTTTCCTTCCTGCCTGCCTGACTGCTACACTCCCTGCCTGACTGCTACACTCCCTGCCTCCCTCCCACACTCCCTGCCTGCCTGCTACACTCCCTGCTACACTCCCTGCTACACTCCCTGCCTCCCTGCTACACTCCCTGCCTCCCTTCCACACTCCCTGCCCATGGTGGCTTATTTCACAGTCACACTTTATTTTATTTATTTATTTATTTCCAATTTGTGCACACATACAGAGGTACAAAAAAAATACAGATATGAGCAGTATGCCAAAGCCACTTATACTATGCATAGCATTACGGGCTGGCTTAAAATTAACTTAAGATTAACTAAGCAATGATTATTATTATTATTATAATCAAAAAGAAGCGCTAAGCCACAAGGACTATACAGTGCTGCTACTAAGCAATGATGAAATCAGTGATAAAACATTAATGTAAACTTAATAAACAAGCCACATCAGCTTCCTTGATTTGTTCTTTCTTTGCCCGGATAGAAGTGATGGTGACTTATTTCACAGTCACACTAAAAAAAAAAAAAAAAAAAAAATGGATTTTAAGGAAATGTTTGGATGAATGCATGGAGTATATGCTCACTCGCCGACAGACAAAGGGAGACTGACTCGCCTACACACGGGGTTCCAGGCTGACGCATCTAAAATGGCTGATATACGAGGCAATGGCCGAAATACAAAGCAAAATTTCCGCCGAAAAACCGGCCTTAATACGAATCAGCCGATAAATGCTGTGGCCAAAAAAATGCGGTTCCACTGCACTTGTAAAAATAATTACTGTTATTATGACTACTACATGGTACGTGTCCAAACAGTCTGACAACTAGTCTGTTAGTTTGTTTACACCAGTAATGTCAGGCTTCCCCCCTCCCACACCAAAACAATGGGCTTGTCTAAGAGGCGGAGGTACATTCTATAACTAACGGGTGCCACTAATTCTGCCCTGATGTGCCTTACTGGTACTGGCATGCTACTGTTGGAAGTAAGAAAGCAAATCTGAAGTGTATACTGAAAATGCAGGCTATGATTGCATGACTTGCAAAGGTTTACTCTATTATCATTGCCAATCTGTGGTTTAAGGGCACAAATGTTTATTGCAAACCTGTGGGCTCCAACAATTGTTTTCCTTCATCATTCCCATTAATATATTTTTATCCATTTTTGTTTGACAAAATTAACTTTCTTACTGTAGTAGAGAACTGTGTATGGCTTTATGATTAATCTATGTAGTTTAATGTAGACATTTCTGATAAAATATAATCGATATTTACACTTAGTTACATTCTTTACATATTTTTACTTGGCCACTGATGGAGTTGATACTCAAATATTATTTGGATGATAAATTTGTATCCCAAAGAGAAATAAAATATTGTAAATTAAATTTAACCACTAAAATTGCTGTCACCAACTTATAGTAACTTTGTCAGTGAAATAACAAACTTGCATCTACACCCTGAAACCAAAGTAGATGATCCTTTTAATAGGCTGTATTTGCCATTACAGATAGAAATTATGAAAACCTAGTTTAAGAAAAAACCATAGCATTTAAAAAAAAAATTAGAACCAACAACTCAATCCTGTGCCTTGGTAAGCAACGCACTCTTGTATAGCTAACATTCATGCACATATTACTGTAACCTGAGCCTATCTCTAATGTAAATAACTACCTTATATGTAGTATATCCCTAATGGAATTCACTGACTTTTGTTGGGTTATCCTAGGTAATCCACACACATGCGTTGTATAATTTATATAACTATTTGTGTGTATCTGTACCTGAATAAACCTGCTTGATTTTCACAGTTAAGTTACTTAATTGTTTTAACTTTTAAGGTTTAAATTAGATATTACAATGACTTTTCTTGGGGTTATCCTACGTAATTTACATGTTACACATACTATGTATGATAGTTGTACTTACACGTGTGTGTACCAATACCTAAGTAAACTTCTTGCCTCACACACGGAGTGTCCATGGTTCAAGCCCTGGCACGAGTGATAATACGAGTTGTGTTTCCTTACACCTGCTGTTCATGTTCACCTAGCAGTAAGTAGGTACCTGGGTGTTTGCTGACTGGTGTGGATTGCATCCTGGGGGACAAGACTGATGGATCCTCGAGTTTACCTGGAGAGAGTTCCAGGGGTCAACGCCCCCGTGGCCATGTCTGTGACCAGGCCTCATGATGGATCAGGGCCTGATCAACCAGGCTGTTACTGCTGGCTGCACGCAATCCAACGTACGAGCCATAGCCCGGCTGGTCAGGTACCGACTTTAGGTGCTTGTCCAGTGCCTGCTTGAAGACAACCAGGGGTCTATTGGTAATCCCCCTTATGTATGCTGGGAGGCAGTTGAACAGTCTTGGGCCCCTGACATTTATTGTTTCTCTCAACGTGCTAGTGACACCCCTGCTTTTCATTGGGGGGGGGATGTTGCATTGTCTGCCAAGTCTTTTGCTTTCGTTGAGTGATTGATTTTTGTGTGCAAGTTTGGTACTAGTCCCTCGAGGATTTTCCAGGTGTATATAATCATGTCTCTCTCCCGCCTGTATTCCAGGGAGTACAGGTTCAGGAACTTCAAGCGCTCCCAGTAACTTAAGTGTTTTATCTCCGTTATGCGCACTGTGAAGGTTCTCTGTACATTTTCTAGGTCAGCAATTTCACCTGCCTTGAAAGGTGCTGTTAGTGTGCAGCAATATTCCAGCCTAGATAGAACAAGCGACCTGAAGTGTCATCATGGGCTTGGCCTCCCTAGTTTTGAAGGTTCTCATTATCCATCCTGTCATTTTTCTAGCAGATGCGATTGATACAATGTTATGGTCCTTGAAGGTGAGATCCTCCAACATGATCACTCCCAGGTCTTTGACGTTAGTTTTTCGCTCTATTGTGTGGAAGGAATTTGTTTTATACTCTGAAGTTTTAATTTCCTCGTGTTTACCATATCGGAGTAATTGAAATTTCTCATCGTTGAACTTCATATTGTTTTCTGCAGCCCATTGAAAGAGTTGGTTGATGTCTGCCTGGAGCCTTGCAGTGTCTGCAATGGAAGATACTGTCATGCAGATTCGGGTGTCATCTGCAAAGGAAGACACTGTGCTGTGGCTGACATCCTTGTCTATGTCAGATATGAGGATGAGAAACAAGATGGGTGCGAGTACTGTGCCTTGTGGAACAGAGCTTTTCGCCGGAGCCGCCTCAGATTTTACTCTGTTGACTACTACTCTTTGTGTTGTGTTTGTGAGGAAACTATAGATCCATCTACCAACTTTTCCTGTTATTCCTATACCACGCATTTTGTGTGCTATTACGCCATGGTCACACTTGTCGAAGGCTTTTGTAAAGTTTGTATATATTACATCTGCATTCTTTTTGTCTTCTAGTGCATCTAGGACCTTGTCGTAGTGATCCAATAGTTACAGGAGCGACCTGTTCTAAACCCATGTTGCCCTGGGTTGTGTAACTGATGGGTATCTAGATGGGTGGTGATCTTGCTTCTTAGGACCCTTTCAAAGATTTTTATGATATGGGATGTTAGTGCTGTCGGTCTGTAGTTCTTTGCTATTGCTTTACTGCCCCCTTTGTGGAGTGGGGCTATGTCTGTTGTTTTAAGTAACTGTGGGACGACCCCCGTGTCCATGCTCCCTCTCCATAGGATGTTAAAAGCATGTGATAGGGGCTTCTTGCAGTTCTTGATGAACACGGAGTTCCATGAGTCTGGCCCTGGGGCAGAGTGCATGGGCATGTCATTTATCGCCTGTTCGAAGTCATTTGGCGTCAGGATAATATTAGATAGACTTGTGCTTACCAAATTCTGTGGCTCTCTCATAAAAAATTCCTTTAGATCTTCGACTCTCAGTCTGGTTATCGGCTTGCTAAAAACTGAGTCATATTGGGACTTGAGTAGCTCACTCATTTCCTTGCTGTCATCTGTGTAGGACCCATCTTGTTTAAGTAGGGGCCCAATACTGGATGTTGTTCTCGACTTTGATTTGGCATAAGAAAAGAAATACTGTGTTTCTTTCGATTTCATTTATGGAAATCAGACAAGAGAGTCCTGGATGACGCACTGTCTTGCCTGAGTTATCCTGGGTGGATAACCCTCCCTGACCCTGGTTAAATATCCCAACAAAATCTTTAATCCATGATTAGGCAGGAAACCTAAGTTTATTTAGACAGAGAAACATACAATCAGTGGAAATTGCTATCAAGAAGGTGACGGACCAGTCAACACTTGAGCTAATCCTCCCCTGCCTTGGATCAAACATGACTGCCTCGCATTCCCCAGGCGCTATGACACCTACTGGTTTAGAGCTCCCCCGTGAATATAAATTTTAACCACAAATCCACGTACATATAGACCTTGAGAGCAGCGAGGGTGGCTGTGATTCTCCCTACTTTCATTTCTACATAACTATAGAGTGAAAATTTATGCCAAAAAGCAATTGTATTTTATCTTAAGATATTTCCGTTTTGTAAAATTAAAATCAGGAAATGGGAGATAGCGGATGACGTCACAAGCTCATAACCAGGACAATTCCAGAACGGGAACAATGCACAAATACTTACGAAGAACAGTAAGTTGAAGAAAAACACCAAGTATTTGATGGTGAGTGGGCCACAGCTCAAATTATGATCAGCCATTTTTGCAAAAATTTAAGACACACAAACTAAAAACCTATCCACCCACTACAACGGCTGATGCTGCACTGATGCGCAGCCTTGCTGCCGCGCCTCACTACACAACTTAACATTTCGTACAGCAAGACTCCTCCAAAACTCCCTATAATTAATTTTTTTTAACAAATCTACATATATTTATGTACTTTACACACACGTATCTCATTCAACTATACAAAATAAGCATAACAATAACCTAGAGAATCATGAAGTTATATTTGCAAAATATGGTGAAATAAGTATCGTTCGTCTGCCCCCCCTGGAGCTCCTCGAACAGTCATGATCACATGACTAAAAAAAATGAAAAAAAAAAAAAAAAAAAAAAAAAAACTGTTGCTGGAGACTAACATGGGTGTGCTTGGCTCCATGTATATTTTGCTCTATTAATATATATATACTGAATTACACTACAACACTGACCTATAATTATACAAAGAATTATATATATATATATCCAGCTCTGAGGAGCTGGATGAGGTTTTCACATTATTACCAGTGAAAACACATAACCATATGTACCTAATGTATCGTACATGTCATCTTTATATCAACAATGTATCTCTTAAATATTTTGTACCATATTATGTAATAAAATATACCTATTGGTAAAACAGAATGAAAAGATGGGGTGGTAGGGGAGTGGAATATTTAAATGGCTTCAGGAGGAAATCCAAATATTCTTCCTTGAAGCCTTTTTATCCACATTATACACGTGTAGCTTTAAAAATAGGTTGGATAAATACATGAGTAGATGTGGGTGGGTGTGAGTTAGACCTGATAGCTTGTGCTACCAGGTCGGTTGCCGTGTTCCTCCCTTAAGTCAATGTGACCTGACCTGACTAGGTTGGGTGCATTGGCTTAAGCCGGTAGGAGACTTGGACCTGCCTCGCATGGGCCAGTAGGCCTTCTGCAGTGTTCCTTCGTTCTTATGTTCTTATGTGTGTAAGTCATGCATGGTCTGAGTCAATTAAAGTGTCGCAGGCACGTGTGTCCAGGAAATATCTCTTAAAATCCGGTTTATTGGGCAGGTTACATTATTTTTATGAGATGTGACTAGGTGAGTATGACACAGACTAGACTTGTAAAACATGTCGCAAAGTCAGTCCCATATATACTGCTTTATTAATATGTATCAAGACTAATTACAGCCTTTACAAGGTGAGATGTAGCCTAACAAACTGGCTCGTTAAGAAATGTCACTGACTTTTTTGGGGGGTTATCCTGGATAATTTACACATATGCTGCTATATATGATAATCTATAATTGTGTTTGTGTGTTCCTGTGGTGGAATAAAAACTTGTGTGTTTAATTAAAATTTCTGGTAATGGGATCCTTGTTTGAATATTTCAGGAATTTATTCACACTATATTGTTTGTTTCTAAAAATTCATTTTAGTTTTCTGGCGTATTCGCCTCTTTTGCTACCTAGCCTTGCTACCTAGCCATGCTTCCTAGCCTTGCTACCTAGCCTTGCTACTTAGCCATGCTTCCTAGCCTTGCTACCTAGCCTTGCTACTTAGCCATGCTTCCTAGCCTTGCTACCTAGCCTTGCTACTTAGCCATGCTTCCTAGCCTTGCTACCTAGCCTTGCTACTTAGCCATGCTTCCTATAGCCTTGCTACCTAGCCTTGCTACTTAGCCATGCTTCCTAGCCTTGCTACCTAGCCTTGCTACTAGCCATGCTTCCTAACCTTGCTACCTAGCCTTGCTACTTAGCCATGCTTCCTAGCCTTGCTACCTAGCCTTGCTACTTAGCCATGCTTCCTAGCCTTGCTACCTAGCCTTGCTACTTAGCCATGCTTCCTAGACTTGCTACCTAGCCTTGCTACTTAGCCATGCTTCCTAGCCTTGTTTCCTAGCCTTTTTTCCTAGCCTTGCTACCTAGCCCTGCTTCCTAGCCTTGCTACCTAGCCTTGCTACTTAGCCATGCTTCCTAGCCTTGCTACCTAGCCTTGCTACTTAGCCATGCTTCCTAGCCTTGCTACCTAGCCCTGCTTCCTAGCCTTGTTTCCTAGCCTTGCTACCTAGCCCTGCTTCCTAGCCTTGCTACTTAGCCATGCTACCTAGCCTTGCTACCTAGCCTTGCTCCTTAGCCATGCTACCTAGCCTTGCTTCCTAGCCATGCTACCTAGCCTTGCTTCCTAGCCATGCTACCTAGCCTTGCTACTTAGCCATGCTACCTACCTTGCTACCTAGCCATTGCTACTTAGCCATGCTTCCTAACCTTGCTACCTAGCCTTGCTACTTAGCCATGCTTCCTAACCTTGCTACTTAGCCATGCTTCCTAACCTTGCTTCCTAGCCATGCTACCTAGCCTTGCTTCCTAGCCATGCTACCTAGCCTTGCTTCCTAGCCATGCTACCTAGCCTTGCTACCTAGCCATGCTACCTAGCCTGCTTCCTCATCCCTTGCTTCCTAGCCATGCTACCTAGCCTTGCTACCTAGCCATGCTACCTAGCCTTGCTTCCTAGCCTTGCTTCCTAGCCTTGCTACCTAGCCATGCTACCTAGCCTTGCTTTTAATTTATTTGCTATAAGTACTGGAGTTTACCTGGAGAGAGTTCCGGGGGTCAACGCCCCCGCGGCCCGGTCTGTGACCAGGCGGCCTGGTGGATCAGAGCCTGATCAACCAGGCTGTTGCTGCTGGCTGCACGCAAACCAACGTACGAGCCACAGCCCGGCTGGTCAGGAACCGACTTTAGGTGCTTGTCCAGTGCCAGCTTGAAGACTGCCAGGGGTCTGTTGGTAATCCCCCTTATGTATGCTGGGAGGCAGTTGAACAGTCTCGGGCCCCTGACACTTATTGTATGGTCTCTTAACGTGCTAGTGACACCCCTGCTTTTCATTGGGGGGATGTTGCATCGTCTGCCAAGTCTTTTGCTTTCGTAGTGAGTGATTTTCGTGTGCAAGTTCGGTACTAGTCCCTCTAGGATTTTCCAGGTGTATATAATCACGTATCTCTCCCGCCTGCGTTCCAGGGAATACAGGTTTAGGAACCTCAAGCGCTCCCAGTAATTGAGGTGTTTTATCTCCGTTATGCGCGCCGTGAAAGTTCTCTGTACATTTTCTAGGTCAGCAATTTCACCTGCCTTGAAAGGTTCTGTTAGTGTGCAGCAATATGACTCAAGAAATCGTAATGACACGATTGCAAATAAACCATACCCCCGGCCGGGATTGAACCCGCGGTCATAGAGTCTCAAAACTCCAGCCCGTCGCGTTAGCCACTAGACCAGCTAGCCACAATAAGATTCATCCAACTAGGGGTATTTGTACACCATAGGAAAGTTAGTCACAGGCACCTGTGACACAAATGCAGGTTTTACAGACGAATCTCCAGCTAGCGTGGCCGTGACGAACTCTAGCTCAAGTCCCTTCACTGCCGTCAACAGAGGTGCCTGTGCTAACTTTCCTATGGTGTAGAAATATACCTAGTTGGATAATCTTATTGTGCGTACTGGTCTAGTGGCTAACGCGACGGGCTGGAGTTTTGAGACTCTATGACCGCGGGTTCAATCCCGGCCGGGGGTATGGTGCAGCAATATTCCAGCCTAGATAGAACAAGTGACCTGAAGAGTGTCATCATGGGCTTGGCCTCCCTAGTTTTGAAGGTTCTCATTATCCATCCTGTCATTTTTCTAGCAGATGCGATTGATACAATGTTATGGTCCTTGAAGGTGAGATCCTCCGACATGATCACTCCCAGGTCTTTGACGTTGGTGTTTCGCTCTATTTTGTGGCCAGAATTTGTTTTGTACTCTGATGAAGATTTAATTTCCTCGTGTTTACCATATCTGAGTAATTGAAATTTCTCATCGTTGAACTTCATATTGTTTTCTGCAGCCCACTGAAAGATTTGGTTGATGTCCGCCTGGAGCCTTGCAGTGTCTGCAATGGAAGACACTGTCATGCAGATTCGGGTGTCATCTGCAAAGGAAGACACGGTGCTGTGGCTGACATCCTTGTCTATGTCGGATATGAGGATGAGGAACAAGATGGGAGCGAGTACTGCGGTACATTTTCAGGAAATGGATTTATCAAAATTATATCAACTTTTTCACTGTGTGAATAATATTCTATCATCAGTGGTGGACAAGCGGCCTCATTACCCTCGGCAGAGTTAATGCACTTTAAAGACCATTGAATAAATGGGTATTTATATAGTAATTGCAAAATTAATTACCACTTTATCACTCGTGATAAAAATAAACTTGTATCTAGTCTAACCACCTCCTGTTTACCTATTCCTATTTCCATTCACATCTCTTCCACTTTTCGCCATTATCTCTCTCTTCCATTCGCCTTTCAAATCCGGTTAAGGTTTAAACATGATATGAACTCACTCATGAGTCAATAATTCATTAAAGAAAAAAAAAAAGGATCATATCCTTTCAACACATAAATTCGTTTGACTTTTGGCTTACAGATCAAAGGTCTACGAGAATGTTATGTGCATGGTGGTTATTAAACGGGAGGAATTCCTCACATTGCCAGTCAAAAATGATAATCCACATCAAATAGTAACTCCAACTCTGCTGAAAGGAATCCCTAAGTTAGCGTGACATGCTTGGTCGCCCTACTCAAGTTTCCCAGCATAAGGTGACTATGAAAGTAAAAATATTGTGCATAATAGAATATGACATAAAAGTCATCCTATGATGATTTAGTGATGTATCGGATATCCGCAGAACATCCACACAATTTCTTACATCTGCATCCACATTTTGCTGTAAACAGATATCCACATATGCATCCGAATCCGCGGAACAGCCGCACAATTTTTTACATCCGCAAAATAAGATATCCTCATACACATCCGCATATATCTTATTTTCACATTCGATACATCTCTAGTGGTATATGACATTAGCGACTGTGGCAGCAAAAGTATCTTATGTGATGGAGTATAACTCGAGGAAACTTCTAGTGTGGTGGTGTATGTCGTATCCTTCACAACCTTCCTGTGTGGAATAACGTGAAATATAACAGGAAAGCCATCCTGTACGATGAACTGTGGTAGGAAACCCATCCTGTACAAGTTACACGGTGAAAA